GTTATTACTCAAATTAGGCTCATGATATGTAAAATTAAATCTGTAGGTGTCTAGTTTCCTGTATAAAAAATTGAGAGTAATTGGTTTAGTAGATTTTCCAGAATCACAAAAATGGTGAGGGATGTTTGGGGCTCTGTATAGAGTTGGCAGACAGTTTTGTTTGTCCAACTTCAAACGGTGATAACCAGAGATAGAGAACTCAAAATGAGGCATGTGATACCTTGTTGGAAAGATAATTAAGTCTAGATTAACATACTAAAAGATGAGGATGTTATAGCAAGTGGGTTTCTCACAGTGACTAGAAAACAGAAGCTTGTATAGTTATAGGAAAACCGTAAAAGTGAGATTTAGACTAAGTGAATTTATGGGAACCCCTTAGTAACTTATAATGATTAATGTTCAAGGTTATTAATGACATATATTGGTGATAAATGTCTTGATTAGTTGTAAGTTAAGTGAAAAAGGCCTTAATCTAAGATAGTTTATTAATGGACTAAGTGTCTAATGAGTTATTGTGAACTCAGGGAACAAATGAACACCTTATGTACCCTCTGTATATCGCAAACATGAAAGATATATATGGCTAGGATGAGTTAAAAATAATACAAGTTATCTTAGTTTCCTTAGAGTGTAATTCTAAGATGATTGAAGTGTTTAAATCACATAGTTGAGTATGTAAAAAGGAAATGGAATCCATAAACGGCTAAGTCTTGTATATTTACTTGACTAATTAATATGTCATTAATGTATATGTATGATTCTTTCTCTAGGTGTGCCTAGAGATTCTTGCTTGTGAAGATATTTGTCGGAGCATATGTAATTGCCTAGGCAAGTGGGCTTGAGTATAGCTCTTTGAGGTAAGCTCTTTGTTTAAGATGTTCCTCTTCTCTTGTGACTCCACCATGATGGTGGCCATTATGGTTGCAATTGTATGAAAGTATGAGATATATTGTATATGTGCATTCATCCACATTCATATAGAGATTATACGATTCATTATGTTATGATGCACTGATGATGTATGTTATGAGGTTCCTGGCCAGTGAATATGTATATAGGCTCTTGGGTCATCCCCTTGAGATGTTGTGTGTAGACTGCCTATGACTGGACTCTGGGGGTTATTGCACACTAGCATGTTGGATATGCCAGGTGTTGGCTATTCGAGGAGGAGTCCTAGAATAACTAACCAGGATCAGATATGTTGCTATGTTTATGCTGTATGATTATATATATGCTTTATATCTGACTTGTCATGCAGGAAGTGAGTTCAAGGGAATAGAGGATTTTTTTATAAACTTTAAGCTTACTGAGATTGTTGTTATCTCACTCCTTCTTGAGGACATCATTTCAGGTACCTACCATAGTGGTGAGCCCTCCATGGGCAAGGACCAGGCACGTGGCTAGTGGAGTGCCAGTGAATATTTATTTGATAGCATATTTAGCTTTGATCATGCTATAGTTATGTATTTTGAGATTATGTTAATTGTGTAATAATGCTCATGACTTGTATTTGATGAGTTTATGGAGAATTATGTATTTGTTTAGATGCATGTGTTGAGTATATAAACATGTAGTAATTGATGTTTAGTTTTGGGCATGGAGCCCTTATGTATGGATTGACCCATTGAGGAGATCACAGTCGTGTGGGACTTGTGAGATATCTGTTTATATCAACTGTGTCTATCAGGATTATATTATGGAGTGAGATTCTTATCTCCCAGTATCCGTTAAACAACCGTTATGTTGTTCGTGAGACTCTGGCAAGAATGACACTTGTTGTCATATCCGATTAGTCAATGGCCACTAATAGTGGCTAATATGATTAGTTAGTAGTTGTCTGTTTTAGATTTACGCTTACGCAATATCTCATGTAAACGATTTTGGAAATCTTTTTAGAAAACATTTTGAAAAAAATTAACTCATATTTTTATAAGATGATTTTATATTTAATAAAATAAAGTCTTCCGCTGTGTACGCTAAATATCATGTATGTTGACAACCGGAGTATTCTGGGTAAATTCACAACTTGACAAGGCGAAGGCTTTGAAATGACAAAGATGAAGTTAAAAAATCATAACGAAAAGGGCAATGAAATTAATCAATTGGTTTAATGTCTCTAAGATGTTTAAGATGCTGAATCAGCGCCGTTAAAAGAACAACTCACAACGGATTTACTTATTTGTTCTTTAGTTGTAGAGCAGTTTGGTTATGGATAACCAATTATTTTTATGATCTGGTATATAACCAGTTTATAAAATAAAATACAATTTCATATGAAACCAAATTTTAAAAATAACCGGTTTTAAAATGTGGAGTAGTTTGGTTATGTATTGGTTTAGTTCTTTTGGACATTTTGAACACCCCTACCCATACCTTCCTCCATCAGTTCAAATGAAACTCTAAGTAACATACATCTTGAGAGAACGAAGAGCAAATTTTTTTTTTATAATTTTAAAATAATTCAACTGTTCTTCTATCAATCACTCTCAAAACAACGTGAAACAATTTCTATAAGAATCATTTTGTCCGGAGAGTTCCAAAACAATAAAGATTCTTGCAAGAAATAGTTGGTCAACTAACTATAACCGGGAGAAACAAATGACTACTTACAAAAATAGCACAATTAATCAAAGACCGATTTTGAATTTGTTCAAAAATCGATTTTGAACTTGTTAAAAAATCGATTTGTGGTTCATAACCGGTTTTGAATTAAAACCGGTTTTAAATCAAAACCGGTTATAAACCATAAACCGGTTTTGGAACCGGTTTCAAACCAGTTTAGAAAATTAAAAATCTATTTTAAAAGAAGAAAATCGATTCAGTTTGAAAATCAAACCGTTTAAAATCGGTTCGATTCAGTTTTTGTTAAAATCGGTTATGAACCGCTCGATGCACTCCGCTACTTGAGCGTCAGAGTGTCTTATATATACTTATCAAAATCTCTTCAAACTACTCCAAAGACACCAATTCCATTCTATGCATTTGCCAACTAGCTAGACATCCGGCAATAAGAGTATCAACCCAAGCACAACTCACTAATTATTGGATTGACCACTTATTCCAGCATAAATCTAACGCCAACGAGCTTAAATCCAAGCATAAGCTCCCCTTCTTAGTACAACTTAATGATATATAGTTAATCAGAAAATTGCTTAAATAATGATGAAGTGTTGAGGGGCTTTGAATATCAGTCCTATTATTATACAAAAAAAAGGGGAAAACGAGTCTCGTTTTAACGTATGAGACTCTTTTTCTTATGCGGTAGACACATAAACATGTGAGTCCACTTTAAAAGAAAAAAACAAAGAGTGGCGTGTTTTTTATATATGGACAGCAAGAAATTACTTTATCTAACAACAGAAGAAAGTATTTCCTCATAAAAAAAAATTAGGCGAAACACATGGGTGGGGATACTGTGAATCGTATTCATCACGCAACTTGACAATTTTTTTTCTAACTATCTTTGGATGTTAAATAATTTTAAGTCAAACCTTGGAATCACCTAACAACCTAGGACTAAAGTCGTTGACAATATGACACACCCTTACTTAACCATACTTAAATTGTTAATATTAAACATCTTTGTTCTCATGCATTTAATGATACATTTATGTTTAATAAGAACTCAACTTTGTATACGAGGCATCTTATTTTCAATTAATTTTGATAATCATATCAAACGCAGCAATTTTAAATGTCTTTTTTATCAATGATGCCCTATTATGCCAAGCCAAGTGTCTCTCTCTTATTATTATTTTATATAATTATAAAGGAATGTTATATTTACAAATTTTTTCTTTACAAGCTTTTACAAACTACATTATGTATTTTCGAAAGTGCATTAGGTTACACTATGTATTTTCGGGAGTACATAGGGTAATTTACCAAAATTTATAAGAAAAAATTTGTAAACGAATCCTTTCCCATAATCACAATCCATAAAATTTAAACTTAAGATATTTCAAAACTCCACAAATAGCTCAATTTTCTGATTTCAAATTAATTTAGGACATACTAAATGTTTCTATATTTCACATGATCGAACACAATGTCTACCCACTTTCAAGTTCATGAATGACTGCATGTACAAGATAAATATTTATTCCGAGCTACTTTAAGAGTAAAAAAAATTATGTCGTAAAATTACTAAACTTACGTCGCAGACAATGATTTACATAAAATCTAAATTATTGAAATTGATATTTCAAAAGACATAATCGAGCAGCACTTTTACGAGTAGACCAAAATTTAATTTCCAAATAATGGAATTGATGGAAAGGCCCCATATAGAGTAACAACAATGTCCGAAAGACTGGCTTCACTTGCAGTGATATCCTGAAAAAAGACCAAAAAAAAAAAGGGTAAGTAAATAGTTCTTGTATAGTTAGAATATACCTGTCCACACACACGTATACCATAATTAATCTATATCATTATTGGAAAAATAATAATAATTTGTGCGTTGTTGAACTATGTTACTCTCAACTCAAAAATCAAGAATTAAAATATACAATAAAACCATTCATAGGCCTTCACCCAATAGCTTTAATTTTTTTGGAAGGGTTGATCGCATAATATGATATGAGAGCATGTGATTAAGCAGTCTAGAATTGGATTCTTGTTGTCTCCATTTTCTAACAAAAAAAATGCTAAAATTTACGAGACTCTTTCTTATTCCTTACCACTTTTTTTTCTTCAATATCATAAACTTGACCTTTTGGGAGGTAAAGGTGAGGAATCCTCATTTGCAAAGACATTTGTCAGCTAATTTTCTTTATTAATGATATCAGAAAGATATACAAACTGATCTTGCTCATCGAGAAGGAAAATAAAATAGCATCTTGGAAAATTTACATGAAACTCAAAGCAAACATATCTGAACAAATCAAATACGATGTTGTAGGTGTTTTGTGCTTGGGGGAAAGATTGGATATTACAAATATCTTATTAAACCGTGGTTGCAAATTGTTATAGGCACGCGTATAGTCCTTGCTAGTGAATCACATGATGGAGCAACTATCAGGGTTTGGATCATAAACCACCCTGCAATAAGGGGGATAAGGGTAACAAGGTGGATAAGGTACATAGCATTTGTGACAGGTGCACCCTGGAGGACACTGAACAAAGCAGGGTGGAGGAGGCTTACACTCACCATGACACTTTGGATTGTGGCAATGAAAACAATTGATGACACACTTGCCATCACACTTGGGACTTTCACACTTGGAACAAGGGTTACATTGACCATGGCACTTGGGACTCTGACATTTAATACAGATTATGACACACTTGCCATCACACTTAAGATTGTTGCACTTTGAGTATTTATCACACTTACCCTTGCAACTGGGGCTATGACACTTGGTACATAGATCACAGGGGGGAAGACACAGAACAGCACAACCCTTATTCTTTTCTTCCTCCTTTTTCTTTTCTTTCTCCTTTTTCTTTTCTTCCTCCTTTTTCTTGTCAGCTGGTTTTTTCACCTCTTCAACACTCAGAATGATGACAGAGCGGAACTTCTTCTTCAGCTGATTAGCCAAGCAAATCATGTCGATGTTGTCACCGGTCACAGCAACACGATCCTTTTCATCCCCTTCAAGTGACACCGAAGTCACACCTGTGGCCACGTTTTGTTCATCACTCACCACAAATTAAGAAGCTCTATATATCACCACCAAAAAAAAAAAAAAAACGAAGCTCTATATATATACCGCATGCATTTATAAGTATAATTTCGCATCCCAATTTTTTCATTTATACATACTGAAATATAGATAAACAGGGCGACACTGAAATAGTGGTAAAATTGTTCTTTTGTGAAGTAAAAATCATAGTTTGAATTTGAGAAGCAATTATAAAAAGAAAAGGTTGCAATGTAAGGATTGCCGTTATTTTTCTTTATGGATGAGTGTTTGATATATTAAAATATAGATATATTCTTAAAACGTAAAGGGGATTGGCATGATGTTTACCTTGTATCTCTGCAGCAATTTTCAGGGCCTTGTTTCTGCATTTGTCACAGTCCATTTGCAACTTTAAAACTACTTTTTGCTGCATTTGGCATTTCATGCATAGCTTATTAAGAAATTTATCACAAGAAAAAATATTACATATATATATTTATAGGTAGGATCCTTTGACATCAGTGTCAAATTTTAATTTTAATACCTGAGCTGAGAGCCATTAGATCACAAAAAATCAATGGTGTCATATGCTTACGAATCAGAGTCGTTGATCTTTTGTGATCTAACGGCTCTCAGATGAGGTGTCAAATTTTAAATTTGACACTGGTGTTAAAGGATCCTACGCTCATGTTTGCTTTTTTTTTTTTTGGTATAAACAAATTAGCTTATTTAATTAAGTGATAAGATCATACCTTCATGTTTGCTTAATTGAAAGAATAAACAGCTTCTTTTTGCTCTCAGTGATTGGAAACAAACACAAAGGGGCTTTCCTCGTCTGTCCTATGCTTTGGAGTTGAGTGAGTACCCATATATGTTTATATATATAGTATAGTCTACGTCTTGTTTGTTGACTTGAGTGACATTATATGCTGGCTGACACTGACACATTAGCTACTTAGCTACTATTGGATCAAAGATACAAAAAATGGTATATGTAAATAAAAAGGAAAACGAAAATTGCATTAATTAGGTAATATTATTGGTTAAAGTCGCGTATTCTTGGAATTTATTTTGACAATGTATTAGTTATCAATAAAAAGTGGGTTAAGGAATAAAAGAGAAAAGGGAAGTTGAAGGGGTGTGTGGGTTTAAGAAGTCTTGCATTAGACAACTAGTAGGAGGTAAGAGCGTTTATAAGCTCCCACTTCACTCTCCTAAATTGGCCATTGGGTCACTACACATTTTGTGGAGGGGGAGGAGCTAAGTGGGCTTAGGTTTATCACACACGCGCTGCCATCCGGCCGGCCGACTCGACTCGAATCGATTCGGTAAATAAAAATAATATTTTACTAAATAATTTTTTAATTTTTACCCGCCGATTTTTTGAGCGTTTTTGAACCGAACCGGTCATCGATCCGTTCACGGCGGTTCGCCGCCGGCGGTGGTTCATTGTGACCGGTCAGTATCTATAAATAGACACTGACCCTCCCAGAAATTCTATCCGATTTTTGCACTGAAACTCTGTCAGATTTTTATTCCTCCGGTGTAATCCCTCTGGCATATTGTTGTGTTCGTTTGGGCTGTTAACTGGTAGTGTTGCCACTCTTCAGAAGAAATCTAATCTATCCTGGGGGACAAGTGTCCATCAGCCTTTGGCATCAGTGAGGGGACAAATTGTCTTAAGAAGACACGTTCTGTGGGCTCGGATTTAATTCCTAATTCTGCATTCATTCTTCATCTGTCTGTTCCATACTACTGATAACAAGTAAATCTGTTCTATTTTTCCATTATTGCACAGTGATAATTATGATAATTTATATCTTCTGCTTTCTACATGGGTTCAAACCTCTTAGTGATGTAATATCACCCATTGTCTTCAATAATAATCTTAAGACAATTTGGTGTTTTGAACCTGTGATTAGTATATTCTGTTTCTTATTTTATATATTGTTTCTGTTTTTATTTACTGTGTGATTAATTTCGGATTCTGTTTTTGTAACAGAAATGGCTAGTGCAAGTACAAACGCTGCCAATCTTACTGCCTCTGTTCCAATGCATGCTGACAAACCTGAAAAATTGAATGGGACTAATTTCAAACGTTGGCAACAGAAGATGTTGTTCTATTTGACAACTCTGAGTCTGGAACATTTCCTCAAGGAAGATGCTCCTAAATTGGATGAGGGGGAACAGCTTGACAAAGATAAGGTTGCTGCCATTGATGCATGGAAGCATTCTGATTTCCTTTGCCGAAACTATATTCTCAATGGTCTAGACAACACATTGTATAATGTGTACTGTACCCTGAAGACTAGTAAGGAACTTTGAGATAGTCTTGACAAGAAGTATAAAACTGAGGATGCTGCCTTAGAGAAATTCATAGTTGGCAGATTCTTGGACTTCAAGATGTATGATTCCAAATCTGTTGTGTGTCAAGTTGAAGAACTTCAAGTGATTATGCATGAAATTCATCCAGAGGGAATGTCTCTCAGTGAGTCTTTCCAAGTTGCTACTTTCATAGAAAAATTATCGAATTCTTGGAAAGACTTCAAGAATTATCTCAAGCATAAGCACAAGGAATTATCACTTGAAGATCTGATTATGAGATTGAGGATAGAAGAAGATAATAAAAACTCTGATAAAAGGAATGGAAACAATCCTATGGTCTCAAAGGCTAATGTAGTTGAAGAGGGATCAAAGTCAAATAAGAGGAAATATTCTGAAGATGGAAATGCTAAGCAAGGAAAGGGCAAAAAGTTAAAAGGCAACTGTTACAATTATGAGAATCCTGGCCACCGTGCAAGGGATTGTAAGAAGGAACAAAAGAAAGATCATAGGAAGCCACAAAAGTTCAATAAGAAGAAGAAGACCACTCAAGCCAACATGGTTGATATTGATGATAAGGTTGAAGAACTGAATCTGACAGCAGTGGTGATGGAGTGCAATCTGATGGGAGATACTAAGGAATGATGGGTGGACACTGGTGCCACCAGACATGTCTGTTCAAACAAGTGGATGTTCTCCTCCTATACTCCTACTGATAATGATGAGAAGTTTTATATGGGTAACTCATCTACTTCAAAAGTTGAAGGTGTGGGAAAAGTGGCTTTGAAGATGACATCTGGCAAGATAGTGACACTCAATGATGTGCTCCATGTGCCTGATATTCGCAAGAACTTAGTTTCTGGATCTCTGTTAAGCAAGAATGGCTTTAAACTTGTATTTGTTTCTGATAAGTTTGCACTTACTAAGAATGATGTGTATGTAAGAAATGGTTACCTTAGTGAAGGCCTTTTCAAACTGAATGTGATGACTGTAAAAAATTCCAATAATATTAATAATACTACTACTTCTATTTATTTGCTTGAGTCTTCTAATTTATGGCATAATAGATTAGGACATGTTAATTTAAAATCAATTAAGAATTTAATTCATTTATATTTACTACCTAAATTTGAATGTATTAAAAAAAAGTGTTATGTATGTGTTGAATCAAAATTTTCGAAATTACCTTTTAAATCAGTTGAAAGATCAACCGAGTTGTTAGATTTAATACATACTGATATATGTGACATGAAATCTACACCATCTAGGGTTAATAAGAAATACTTTATTACATTTATTGATGACTGCAGTAGATATTGTTATGTGTACTTATTTAATAGTAAAGATGAAGCTATTGTTGCTTTTAAGCAATATAAAAGTGAAGTTGAAAATCAATTTAACAAGAAAATTAAAATAGTAAGGAGTGATAGTGGGGGAGAATATGATGGCCCTTTTGAGGAATTCTGTAAAGAGTCTGGTATTATGCACCAGACAACAGCTCCATATTCACCGCAATCAAATGGGATTGCAGAAAGGAAAAATCGGATATTGAAAGAAATGATGAACGCTATGTTAATTACGTCCGGTTTACCACATAATTTGTGGGGGGAAGCCATTTTGATGGCTAATTACATTATTAATACAATGTCACACAAAAAGACAAACAACATACCATAGGACATATGGAAAGGAAAGAAACCATCCTTGAAGTACTTCAGAGTATGAGGGTGCTTGGCTAAGGTTGCGGTTCCTAAACCTAAAAAGTTAAAAATCGGACCTAAAATCGTGGATTTTGTATTCGTCAGTTATGCACTTAATAGTAGTGCTTATCAGTTTCTAGTTTATAAATCTGTTGTCTCAGATATACACGTTAATACGGTTATTGAGTCTAGGGAAGTTACTTTATTTGAAGACGTATTTCCGTATATTAAAGTACATGAGTCAAGTGGTAACAATGATAATAACGATGTGATATCTCGGGATGCTACAACTAATACCGATCCTGTAGAGGATGTAGAAGATGCACCTAGACGTAGCAAGAGGCAAAGGACAGCCACATCCTTTGGAAATGATTTTATGACATATTTATTAGAAAATAAGCCTCGGACGTACAAGGAAGCTATAACGTCCCTGGAAGGACCATTATGGGAAGAGGCTATCAATAGTGAGATAGAGTCTGTCTTGTCCAACCACACTTAGGAATTGGTAAACCTTCATCCTGGCAATAAGCCTTTAGGAAGTAAGTGGGTGTTCAAAAGGAAAATGAATGAAAATGGAACTATTGATAAATATAAAGCTAGACTTGTGGTAAAAGGCTACAGGCAACGTGAAGATCTTGACTATTTCGATACTTATTCACTTATTACAAGGATCACATCCATCAGGATGTTGATTGCGGTAGCTACATTGAATGGATTAGAAATACATCAAATGTATGTTAAAACCGCCTTCCTAAACGGCGATATGGAAGAAGAGATATATTTAGAACAACCTGAAGGTTTCATTGTTCCAAGACAAAAACGAAAGTTTGTCGCTTAATAAAATCCCTTTACGGGTTAAAACAAGCTCCAAAACAATGGCATGCAAAATTTGACAAAGTTATGTTATCAAATGGATTTCGAATAAATGAATGTGACAAATGTGTCTATGTTCGAAATACTGAAAAAGGATTTGTCATTGTCTGTCTTTATGTAGACGACATGTTGATCATGGGTAGTAATAATCAAATAATTAAAGCTACCAAATAATTACTTAAAAGTAAATTCGATATGAAAGATATGGGGATAGCAGGCGTTATCCTAGGTATTAAAATGCATAGAACATCTGCAGGGTTGGCCTTATCACAGGCTCACTATATAGCTAAGATTCTTGAGAAATTCAAAAGTTTGAATATAACCCCTATGAGGAACCCCGTAGATTCTAATCTTAGTTTAATAAAGAACACTAGTAAAGGTACAACACAAAAGCTATATGCTCAAGTGTTGGGAAGCCTTATGTATGTTATGAACTGCACCAGACCTGATATTGCTTATGCAGTAAGTCTGTTAAGTCATTTTAATAGTAATCCAAATAAAAATCATTGGAAAGCTATAGTAAGAGTTTTAGGATACT